TGACTGCTAACCAGAAGGCTGGCGGTTCAAATCCACCAACCACTCCTCGAAAGGAAGGTTGGGCAATCTACTTCCCTAGTGATGCTGCCTCAGAAACCCAAGGAGGGGTCACTATGAGTCGGATCCAACTCCACGGCAGTCAGTGAGTGAGTGTGTAATACCCAATAAAGGCATGGGATGCATAAGGGGAATTTAGAAAACTTTGAAATTCTTTACTACTGCAGCCAACTTCTATATAGTATTTATTCAACTATGCTTAACGTACAAAGCCTGGAGACATCATTAAATAATTTGCCAATAACTTGAGTCAACATCAAAAGGACCATAAATAATTTATTTTCCTCTTTGACTTTTCGTGGAATACCTCCCTAAGAATGAAAAGAAATAAGCAATCAAATCGCGTACTAGACAGGTGAGAACCCCGCTGCAGTCAGCTTAGAACCAGACACCCTAAACGATTTAAGATTATTTAATCCCTCTGAACACAGGAAAAAAGCAAGAAGTCAGCAAATTTGGGTAAGACAGTGAACTTTTACAGGAACACAAACGTGCGCTGCCTCATAGCCGACTACGTCTTCAAAGGCGCCAGCAATTTACCAACTCACTGTCAGTTTTCCACTGGAAAAAAAAACATGCCTAAAAATTTAATTCCTAAAGCCAAAAACGCGATCTGGAGGCTGGAACCCGAATGCAGAAAAAGGGAAAGAAGTTACCAACAAAGGGAGCAAGCAATGCATTCTTTTGCCTAAGAACTCGTCTCTGAGTTCTATTTTGACCAGGAAATCTTATTTGGAAACTTCTAAACCACGAAAGAGTGAATGTTGAGGAGAAGAAGTGAGAGCTGAGGCGCGTGTTTTCTTTGCCCCAGTCGAATCCGGGCAGCTCAGGAGTTCCCCTAAAGGCGTGGGGCGATCTCCAAGAGTACCCCTGGAACTCGGCCACCTTCGCCTCACCTGATTGAGCCTCTAACTCGGACCAGCGATGAGCACTACGGGTCGAAGAACCTGAACTTGCCGCACGTCTAGGTCCCAACCATGGGGGAAACTTGCAACGACGGACAGTCTGGGCCCACGCCCGTCCCAGCACTGAAGACCGTCTGCCTTTCGTTCCGCTACTTCCAGTCCCTAGCTGCCAAAGGAACTTGCTGGCGCTGGGGTCTCCAAACGACGTTTCTAGGGAAATAAATAAGACCCCACCGTTGACATGTTTAAACTCACCTTTACTATTCTCTTTTTAACATCTGAGGAAACTTTAAATCTAACTCCATGTTTATACTTATTTCTGGATTTTTCAGTTTACTATGAATTTATGTTCAATGCTGTGTTATAACAACACTAAGCAGTTACATTCCAACTTCTAACAAAATGTGGGCATTTCTGTCTCTTAGCTCTACCTTTCAGAAGTTTTTGTCCTTTTTCCTCTATTTCATTACAAAATGCATCATTCTCTTATTCTCTTACCCTTTCTGTTAGACTGCCTTCATGTGTTGCCAATCTAAAGCCAGCTGGCAGGGTAACAGAACTGACTATAAAGTCAAAATCGCTCTCCTGTATATGTACAATTTCTTAAGAGTTCAGACCTCATCATCTGAAAAATACTAAATGGCAAGTGTAACACAGAATTTAAAGTGAAAAGTAAAGCAAGTACTTGCCTTAGGTGTGCAAACGTATGAGACTAGTAAGCCTTATACAATGCAGGAATCAAAAATTACAAATTAAAAGTTGTTTACTTATTCACCAATGATTAATGCAATTTTACAAAAAAAGTGGTAAGATATGCACATGTTCAGATTGGATTAAGATATTAATTTAATGGCACTTAATGTAAAATGTATTTCATAGTAAATGATTCAATTCTGAAACGGCTTGTATGTACAGGTCACGAGAAATTTTTTTTTTAAATGATTTTCTGAAAACTTCAACTTCTTCCTCAATAAAATGAAGATAACAGCGTATACATCTAATGGGCTGGTCAGAGTATTAAAATACGCTATGTAAAGTGATTAATAAAATCGCTAGGACATCAATGGAAACAAAGTCCTATACAGTGAGTACAAATTGAGGTAAGAAGAAGCTTCTCAATTTTATTATAAACCCAAAAGCACACAAATAACTATTACATTAGTTAAAATACAAGTGATATAAACAATAGTGATACATGTAATACAAAAAGATTAGTAGCTTTATCTAGTGTTCAAAAGGAGTCATATAACATGCGCCATATACAATACACAGTGCTTCCAATTTACTTTCAATAGGAAAGAAATTTCATTGTTGTTGTTGTTCTTGTTATGTGCTGTGGAGTCCAACCGACTCATAGAGACCCCTTCTCCGGTTTCTTAGGTGGTGTAACTACAACCTTCCTCTCGGGGAGTGGCTGGTGGTTTTGAATTGCCAGCCTTCTGGTTAGCAGTCAAGTGCCTTAGGCACTATGCTAGTAGAGCTTCTATATAGTAATATAAATAAGGAAAATGAAATTAAAATTACACTATTAAAAATACCCTGACAAAAATTAGTCATCTTAACAAAGCAAACATATTTCTCTTTTTTTTCCCAGGTATTTTTCTTTTTTTTTTTGAAAGTATGCATTCTAAAGTAACATACCTCCCTACAACCTGGGAATTAGCAATAACACTTCATCCAATAACGAAATAGGCC